AACAAAGGCCTCTTTATTTCTGCTCTAAAGGGGAAATAATTACCCGAGCATTCAGCGAGGGGAAGACCGCTCCAGAAGATGCGCTTGACCCTGAGAGCTGAGCTCTGAAGCAACACTCACACTTTCTGAGAGGAAGTTCACATGTATGAAAGGGTCAGTGTTTATCTGTGGGAGCTGATAAAGGTCGTAGTTCACACGCTGAAAACAGAATCTCCTCCTTCTGCTCAAGTGTGAGTCGACTTACATGATGACCTGACATAATTACATGAGATACATTAAAGATGACTTACAGCCCGAAACAGCTTTGAAATAAAGTTGAACATATCACAACGATCTGCCTGAGCGAAACAAACCCAGCACAGTAATCCTCTACTCTACTACTACATTAAACATTGTGTGGTCCTGCTTTACTGTGTGACACCGTGCTGTGTGAGTAGCTGCATTGTGCAGTTTAGCATCGTCTTGCTGACATGTGCCCTTACTGCTCCTGTACCCGTATCAGCATTGATGCTGCTTTTCCAGATGTGCAGCCTGCTAATTCCTCACACTCCCATCCAATCAGAGATTCGGGCTTTTGAACTTAAATGTTGTTCTGCCTTTTTGTTTAGTTCAGATTCAGATTTTATTGACATGAAACTAATATGATGTGATGGCCCGTTTTAGCCCATACAGAGTGGTTGCTAGGTAACACAAAGATGTGATAATATCTGATATCCATCAGATCCTTCAGGGTCCTGCCCGTGAGGTCACTCAGCTCCTGCTGCTGTGTCGTCAGGACGGTGACTTTCAGCACGTTGTATCTCTCTCCACACGTTTCTCTCAGTGCGTGCTCTTCATGAGATTGCTCAGAGGTTTTATTTCACTGCATTTACTACCAGCCTCCCTCTGGCTTTATGTTTAGCTTCCATCAGTGTCATCAAATCAAAAGTAAAATGTGCAAAGTGAAGTCTTTTTGGGGGAAAAGAGAAACACATCAGAGCAGCTTTGGTTGCTTTCAGTCGTCTCCAGGTTGCTGCTGCAGTTTCAGAGCCGACACACACGGACAGGTTCTGATGTCCTGGCACAAACACTCACTCTTATCTCCACTAACACACACACACACACACACACACACACACTCTCACACACACACACACACACACACTGTACATATATGTGCTTTACAGGTGTGCACACAGCAGCTCCACTGAAGATATAAACACAGACATTCACTGATTCACGTCCGACTCACTCTCTCACACACAGACACACACATCTGTACTAACAGTGAGCGTTAGATTAGCTGCCTCATTAGTCCTCTAAATGCCAGCTCATTGGTTAATGTTTTGATGCCACGCGACACACGATTGAGACAGAATATGCGAGTGTGTTTCTGCCTCGGTGGGCAGCGTGTGATGCCTGCAGAGGCGGCGGCGTTTACTGCTCCTCTAACTGAAAGGTCTCAGGTATGAG